TACAAGCTCTCAGAACAGGTATTACGAATTCTTCACAAGAAGTGGTTGAGGCCTTTACAGTGGGGACTGCTTTTTGTCGCAGCCAGTTTCGTGCTAGCATAACCTCGATACCTCTCAAGACTATGCTGGTATGGCGGGTATAATTTGGCTTCTAGCGTCGGAAGCCCTTGGGATTGGGTTAGCCGAGCGAGGATGGAGGACAAGTGGCGTGGAGGCCAGGCCCGATGCCATGTATTGCGCAATGGCGGCGCGTAGATATACTATCATGGAGTCTACGAATTGTCTGTTTGACCCATTAGTCAATGGGAGGATGGTTGCTTCGACGCCAGAGGTTGCGGCAGAACAGAGTGCCAGATTTGCCGCTGTTTCGGCGGCGCATCGTTGTCCGGCTTCGACAATGGGTCGAAGTTCCGAGGGGCAGTCTGCTTTCGTTGTAGCTTTTGGCAGCGACATTTATTTTAACGCTGCTTTGGGTGTAGCGTTCTCTGACGGTTTGATGTGGCTGGAGGAGATTGGATGATTTCCCAATCCCGTAGGAGACGAAGGATGGTTGAGGAAATTCCTCAACAATTTCAACTGACCCGATCATGTCAGTATCAGGCTCAGCGACAGTGGGAAGGACTTTTTCCTTCCCTTTCGAAACGGCCTGAACCATCTCCGCGCATTTCGGAGAGCGAGCGAGGCTAGTATATTTTTCGAGAGCCCTCAGGCGGACTCTCGTGTTGTCCAACATGGAGTTGGGGCGCTTTTTGCGAACAGGAGGCATGGTGAAAATGCCTGAAGCTCGATCACAATTCAAGACTAGATACGACGAGATCGAAAGGGGTGGAATAAGGGAATTTTCGAATTTCTCAAATTGTGCGTTTGGGGTTTTTTTTTCTGATTTTAGGTCCTAAGTTATGCTCCATATCTCCTAGGAGTCAAAGACCGGTGTACACGGCCGAGATCATGCTTTCCACATGCCTGACTCGGTCTCACCGCGTGAGCCACTACACAGCCAGTAGCTAGTTAAGAAAACAAAAACTCCCACAAACTCCTGTAACCAAAATTCAAAACCCAATAATCCTATTTGTGGTTGAAAACAACACTCCTCGTCTCGTTTTCCTATCCGTCCTGCTTCGTGCTATGATCTAGTTAACGCAATCTCTATTGATAGCTAGAGACGGACTCGCAGGTGGGCCCCCGAAGCAGCCGGTTCTCTGCGAAAATATTGCAAGGTTCTCGAGGCACTTAGGCCCGAGGAGCTTATGGGTAAAGTCGTGATATGACATTGCCCCTCGAAGTCGACGTGTCTAGCGTGCGTGCAGTCGACAGTGAAAAAAGTGGAGAGGTGACGTTTCCTCTCCACACACACACTCCGTTGAAACGGCGGTGACATGTGTTGGAAATTCTGGCTCTCGAATTTAAGACTCAATCATTATCTATTGTCTCAGGTTCCCGACAAGATCGACTCTCTCTTCACATGTCTTGGCTGCGCTGATTGCGCCTACTGTCGCATATACGTTTGGATATTTACATACTGCAATGTACTTCATCTCATCATGGTAGATGGGAGGTGGCTGGCTATCACTAGGTTTGACAGGCACATGAGACGAGCGAGAATTTCTCCCTTATATGTATATATATGTCCAATGTTCTCATTGTTGTAAAATTTTTAGTCTTCTTTACTTCATCACATATATCCATATAGTATCTTACACAGAATATTTTCCAACATGTCGCGAAGTTTCCTTGGCCCGTACGGGCTGAAATTAGTTCCCAGAGTAGCCGCCGGGAAAGTGCCTGCTCGCGTAGTTTGCGTCGTCGCATGAGAAGACCCATATTTCGATACCTAGGTGGACATGCTTGTTGTGATCTTACGCTGTTCAATCTGCGGAATTTTTTAATTTTTTTTTGTTCATTAACGTGCAAGGTATAGTGATTCCCGTTGCACTCCTACTGGAGCTTAAGCACGGGTGGGACTGGGCCGGATCAGGTTAACTACCATAAAGTACAAGTGTCTCGTCCCACCTAAATGACCAGACTACCTCAGACTTTACCCATGTTTTGAATCATGTCAAGTCCAACCGTCCAGAGAACCCTCTTTTAACGCGCCGAAGCGCAAATTCCTCCTCAGCCTCGGTCACCACGCACCCGAGCCCTTGACATCCTCATTGACTCCGAAATATAAATGCCGTCCAAGATCTCATCGTTGCTCTAGCCTTGCACCTTCATATCGTTCCGTCGGATTGTTGTCGTCATCGGGGATTTATGTAATCCCCTCGGTGAATATTCCCTTTTATTCCCCCTTTGTACACGTCCCGTTTCCATCATGACTTTCCTCATTAGTGCGTGCGTAGGTAGGTGATGTGGCAAGTATGGAGGTGGGTCGTAGGTGTAGAATCGGCTAAGAAATGGATTGTCGCAAATATATAAGGAGTTTGAGGGATGTCGGATGATTGAATACGACCCCCAAACAGACCTAAATCCATTCGTGAATCGCATGTTGGTGGTGATTAGTTTTTAGTCGACTTTGTTATGGCTGTGAAATCTCTGCCGACTGATTTTTCGACAAAAATATCGAGTGCAACTCCTTCATGTCGAATATCCCTCAAATAAAATTCATCCACCCTTTTTTGTGACTGAATCTCCGCTCTGGGAGAATATTTCACTCCTAGGTTCGTAGAGGGCACCACTGATAGGTGTTCAGCCTTCGCCCTCTCGAATCATTGGCTTTGTGGGTAACGCAATCAAAGGTGTCTGAAAATATGTTTCTCTAACCGATTGATGGGAGTAGACAATTGGACCTGATTTTATGGCGAGAGGGTTAATGAGGAGAGATAGTCTAACCTATTAACAGCTAGCCTAACAGCGCCTACAGGGCTCATCCCTTAAACAGCTCAGTTTCAAATTTAACGTTTCGAATCCCAGAGGCACTGTGTACCAGAGAAGGGAGTGGGTGAGTGAGTGTTTATTGTCCTAAAAAGTCTATAACTATGTAAGGGCATGTAAGTTCTTTCTGCCTACAGGCCAGGAGTATCTATGCCTCAGGTAGTGTACTCCCCCCTATGCCTCCTTCACGACTTCTTTCTGGCAGTAATACCACCACAGATCTTCATTCGAGTACACACTAAGAGGTGCCGTTATCCCGTCATTATCTCCCCTCTCCAGCCAACAAAACGATGGCCATTTGCGGGTGTGTTGCTGCTGGGAAAAGTCTTAAAAACCACTGGGTGCGGGACTCTCCTATGACGAAAAGGCCGGCCAGCCGGGCGCAGCAGACCTGTGTATACCTGAGAGCGTCTCTCAACTTTCCTACCCTGCTCCTTACTCCTCCCCTGATTCATGTCGCAGGACAAATCGTAAGTCGTGAAAGGATGTCAGAAAAGTCTTGGTCGAGAGTGACTGTCGTGAAGGAGCTTAGCCTAGCATCCAAAAGTCATTACGGACGTGGGGTCGTCGAGTAACTCATGTATTTTAGATGCCCTCCTGGCTAGCAGGTTCGGAAGTTATGATTAGTAGGGACGATATTAAGGACGAATCGAAATCTGCTTTGAGGGCGAAAGGGTCTTTTACTTTGCTTTCGTGGGATTTTTGTTCGCCCGCCGGTGGGTAGCACATATTGTGATATAACGAGGGCTTCTCTGACTACCGTTGTAGCGTTTGGTACCGCATTATCTCTCCTCATTCCCAACATCAGTATCGTCGTCTTTGTCGTCTTATGTGTTATCGGAAGCGTATCTTTGACGGAGGGGGAGATAACTCAGCTCAAAGTTGATAAGGTGTTACTCAATCTCGGCTCTGCAGACTCTACAGTGAGGGCTGGAGATTCGTAGGGGACACCACTGATAGGTGTTGAGAATAGTCCCCCAGCTTTTGACTGTAATTTTAAGGTTTCTTTATGGTAACACGTATGAGCTCAATTTGGACTCTCACAAAGAAAAAAGTGAAATATAATATCGTTTAAAAAACCCAGATTCCTTTACCACTACATAAGATCCTACCTGATGCAAGAGAAATGAGATCTTGACCGTCTGTTTCTTTCGCGAAGTAACCTTTGCCCTCCATATCCATTCAGTTTTCCAATCTTGCTCCAGCTCCCATGGGGGTGCATTGGATGCTTATCGCCTTTCAAAGTAATAAACTAGCAAGTAATAAATATCTATTCAGTCCTATTGTGCAAAGCATAGGTTCTGAAGCATGGAGCTACAATTGCCATGATGTATGGCCTTCAACATCCGGAAGGTTTATGCTACTAGTTCTAGAGCAAAACCTATAGCTGCCATATTCCCTTTTTTACTGGTTATGGCTGATCCGGGAAATAAAGAATGAGACAGCTGTTTGTTGGCTAGCTTGAAAATAAACTAAGACGTCTTTTATACGCTGTACGAGGTAGTATGTTTCTATTATGTACTTTTTCTCTGGTATTGTGTCATAGCTAGATAGCTGTATACGCAATTAATTTTAATGCGAAAAAAAGAGGAAGTATATTGATATTGTATAAGATAGTCAAAGAATATTATGGTAAACAATTATTGAGATCTCTGGGCAAATACACCTACTATTACAAGGTGGAATTTTGGAATTTGTAAGCAAATGAAAAAAAAGTTGGCAGACCAATTCTGTGGCTGACTCTAAATTAGACCCCCATCGAACATGATTATAATATTTGTCCTTTGCGAAGCAACGGAATTGCTTGTAATTAGCTTCAACATCCTTGGTACGTTGCGAGCGCGATGCGTGCGGTGTCATTCTCTACCCTGCTGCATCCAATCATTCCTCCGATCCGCTCCACTCTCTCCACATTGCCAATCTTCTCCATATGTTTCCATGGTAGAAAGACAAAAATAGTTCTACATCTTATTATTTAATAGATAGATCTTCCAGCTTGTTTAAATTTCATCGTGCATCAAGAATTAACAAGTCCTCTACATCAAATATTAAACTTGGGACAGCTACTTCTCTCGCTACCTTCACCTGTTTCCTCAGAAAATCAACCGTCCCAGGGCTACTCCAAAGAAATGAATAAGGAACCTCCCGATGAGGAGCAGCCTTCTAAAAATGTGTTCGTAACTCGGGCTTCAATAAACTCCTCCAGTGCTTATCATTTTTCAAACAACCAGCCAGCAAATAGACCCAATCGGCTCCGTAGAGGACTACATTCATTATATGACAGGAAAGAACCAGAAAAAGTTCATTCACAAGATTTATCTTCCTCGGGTACTGAGGGGCAACAAGTTAGTTCTATCGGAATACGCGGCATAATTAGACGGGCCTCAGTGTCTTTTAAGAATCGTAGGCGCCAAATTCAAGACATAGATCAACGTCCAAAGACTACATGGGAAAAGCTACGGACTGCTACTGGTTTCCACTGGCAACAAAGATCCTTATCTACAACATCGCAGCTTGGAATTGATATCGACAATAGGGAATACAGCTCATCAGTTACTGGATACAAAAGTCAGGCACCTAAAATCCCTCTCCGGCTTGGAGGCTCTGCTAAAAGAACAACGCTTGAAAGTAACAGAACTCTTCCATATGCTTCAATCAAAAATAGCCACTTAGGGAGGTGTCCGCAGCTATTCTCAGTCACCGACCACAATGAAGATGGGGAAAGCGGAATCGGAATAGCAATTACTTCTTCCACAAACCCAATTGAAAACTTGGACCCTCCAATCGTTGAAAATTATGATAATATTAGCCGTGTTGATTTTATATCTGACCTCCCGGCAGAACTCGCGATTCAGATACTCGCATATCTTGACCAAAAAACCCTCTGTAATCTCTCAGTTGTTTCTCGAAAATGGCTAGATGTATCTCAAGCGAAGTGTATCTGGCGAGAAGTCTTTTTACGTGATCAGACTACAACCTATGCTACTGGCAAGCCTATTATTTTAGGAGCTGGTTTGGGTCTACCAGCCTCAAAACCTGACAACAATTGGAAGGATCTATACAGAGTGAGAGAGCAACTTAGACACAACTGGATGCGTGGTGCGGCTCAAGCAGTGTACCTGAATGGACATCTCGATAGCATCTATTGCGTTCAATTTGATGAGTATATTAAACTTGCCTATCTTTTATCTGATCTTTAACTATTTTTAGGAATAAAATTATTACCGGATCTCGCGATAAGACCATACGAGTGTGGGACTTGAAAAAGTATATTTGTATACTAATTATTGGCCCCCCTGATATTATAAGTCATTATTCCATAATGAGAGATAACGAGGGCCAGCCACAACACTTTGCAACCATGTCGGACATGACCAAAAAGCCATCCGAAGCATATCCAGCCACTGTATCTTTTCCTATTTATCATAATCAATCCATTCTATGTCTTCAATTTGACAAAGATATCTTAGCAACTGGCTCTTCTGATAGCACTTGTATTCTCTATGACATTAAAAAGGGATACAAACCTATCCGACAGTTCCGTCACCACACTGCAGCGGTTCTTGACCTAGTCTTCGACACTCGGCATATTGTTACATGTTCAAAAGATTACACTATATGTATAATTGACAGAGAGAATGGTACTCTTCTGAAGCAACTTCGTGGACACCTTGGACCCGTCAATGCAGTTCAATTACGGGGAAATATAATCGTGAGTTGCAGTGGAGATTGCAAAGTCAAACTTTGGAACATTGATACCGGAAAAAATATTAAAGAACTTACTGGTCATACGAATGGACTTGCCTGTGGTCAATTTTCTGATAACTCGCGATATATTGCATCAGCTGGAAACGACAAGATAATTAGGATCTGGGATGCAAATACCGGAGAAATCTTAAAAAGTATTGTTGCTCACGAAAACTTAGTCCGATCTCTACATATTGACTCAATAAGTGGAAGACTCGTATCTGGTAGTTATGATCAAGACATTAAAGTGTTTGACATGGCAACTGGTGCGCTTCTTTTAGATTTCCCAAAGTGGCATACGTGCTCAGTTCTTGGGGCCAAGTCTGACTACCGCCGAATCATAAGCACAGGCCAAGATACAAAAATCCTCATTATGGACTTTGGTATGAGCATTAAAGGGATTGAAAAGTTAGAGAGTTAACGACAAAGAGTGATTGGCCCGTAACATTGTTAACACTCCTAGCTGGATCATAATATACATGTCTAAGTTTGCTCGCGCCGAAAGCCCGAACCTCAATGGTATAAAATCTTGGATATCGTTAATGTAGACGAACTTCAAACAATTCAAAAAGTGGTATTGTCTGATTAAACGAAGCCTCCAGAGCTCAGCTTTTTCCGATCCCAGAGCCGACATTGGCTTGGAGCTTAAACAAAGCATATTCAAATTTGTTTATCGGTTGTATAAAATCGTATCGAAGCAATTGCTCAGTGAATAACCACCGACAGATATCTTTGACAAATGTTTCACTCCAGATACCTCAAAACTTATTTTAGCACGCCTAAAATTAATCTAATTGGCAAGTTTTTTAGCTATATCTTAGGACACATATTTCTTCGTCATATTTACCCTCACGAAATAACACAAAATTAGTTCAAGTATTATCAACGTTATTGGCTAAAAATAAGACGTATTGTGTTTGAATAATCCAAGCACTTGACAAATACAGTAATCAACTAATTAGTATGATACTTTTTTGTACCAAACAACGACAGAAATATTTATCGTGTATTCACATCACCTAGTGGAAAAGCACAAACCTCTCAAGCAAAATAATAGCCTGGCCGGGATATTGAAATGTTACAGTAGATTTTTACTATTTTTTTGTCATAATCAAGAAGAAACTACCTGTTATGTTACTATGTGTTTAGGCACACACATATTCTTACATAGCTCAGACTCTAAAATCTGAACGTAGTGGGCAAATCGTTATGAACCCACACGAATGTCGATTCTCATAAGTGATTTGGGAAAAAACGAAAGACAGAGAATGTCTAATTTTAGCTTCATTAAGCTTGCGTCTTGAACGGAGGAAGTGTCTACTGATCGAAAGTAACTGGGCCAATATAGCTGAACGCCTGAGAGCAACAAGACTTAGGTGTGAAAACCCAAGAAAGTATTTGATGAGGGTGATTAAAATATTGGTTAGAGCTGTTTATGAGTTAAAGTTGGCGAAATATATCTCAGGCTATTTATCCGCACACTTCCAAAATTGAAATAGAGATTACAACTCACCAAAGTGATCTTGGTCCTTAATGAATCTATGAATTCAAAATCCTTTATTTTCCCTGGCTTACATGTAGGAACATCCTAAACATGTTTTTAGAAAACTAGAGAACTAAAATTCTACAATGCTAGATGTAGTTAACTCTCCGTACTCCTATGGCAGCTTGAGCACGACTGGGACCTAGCAGGATCAGGTTAACTAGCATACAAGTGCATAAACCTCATCCCACCTGAATGACTAGACCACCTCAGACTTGACTCATGTGTTAAACATGTTAAGTCTAACAGTCCAGAGAACTCAATATTTACACGCCGATGCGCAATTTCTTCCTCAAACTCGGCCGCCACGCGCCCGACCCAATGATACTGTGTATCCGGATCTTCCGATCATAGGCGGGCGGTTCGTGCAATGATGGAGGTCTACAATTGACTTCTATATATATAATTTAATCTCTTTAGCGTATTTGTATTCATAAGGAATTTATGGTTAGAAGGAAACGAACAATTTATATCTGACTAAACGACTTACCAGGCATTCTGTGAAACGAATTTCGGGCATGCTTATAGTCCCTAGTCTACCGTAAGCAACATCGAAACCGTACGCACAACAATTTCCCAATCTCTAATTTGTACTTTCCACTCAGCCCGAGTCATGCCTCATCCCTACCGAGGGTCGTTCTCTTCATTGGAGACCTTTTCTATCGGTAACCTGAAGTTGGTATTGCAATGTAATGTATTCTCTGTATTTCTCTGATCATTCTCTATTCTCACTATCTACAAGAAAGTAATCCAAAGTTATCACGGCTAAATAAATCAAATATAGTTGGTTTCTTTCATGTAGAATCTAGAAGTCTTCCATGGTCAGACTCAGATAGGACTAAAATAAAATCTAATCTAATCCAATCATTCTCTGCATGGGCCGGCAAAGTCGAATTCTTCACCTTCCAGTGGTGCCGGTGTAATCGCTCAGTATGCCCTGCATATCAGGGATAGCCAAGAAGAATCGCATCCTTCGCAACGGCAGCTAGCTGAGCGTGGCCCAGTCGATTTCGATTGACACATGAGCTAGGTTCCGTTCCCGGCACGATAGATCGAAAGTTGAAGTTTGGGTCTCTTCTATTCAGTCTTCTAACAACTTCCCGATTGAGTTTGACTGGGAGGAATTTACGACTCACCAACAACCCTCCAAAATCAAAGGTAAAATTTTTTTCGCTTTCAACCTTACTAACATTGTGTGCAGGACTGGGCAATTGCTCGGCCTCATTTTAGACAAGCACTTCGACCGCGACATCAACATTCTCAACTTTTCGACACATTCCGAAGAAGGCGCGAACGAAGAAGCCTCACTCAGACAACGAGCAATGTACGCAAATGCTGGGGCACCGATGCCCCGTTTTTGAGCTCTCGATTTTGGAATTTCAGCCATCTCAAATGGGGGTTAAGCACAACGCAGGGGAGAATTTTGGAAGAACGATATGTGATTTTCAACAGGCTGTTGGCACAGTTGGTCGGGTGCTGGATGTGCTTTCTAGAAGTGGTAGGTTGGATTTCTACACGGCCTGTTTAAGGGGGGACTACGGCTGCTCGTCGTGAAAGAGTACAGGAGGAATTATTGAGGTTTCCCCACGAAGGTTTTCCCTCAATACATGGTCTTAGGATCACGGTGAATGCGCTCCTACCTATTCGACCCGATGTAACTAGCGTGAGGCACGTATTTGGAGAAGTCAGGCACCAGATGGGCTTTGCTAGGGAGTGGAGGAACTTGTATTCTAGATGTCCTCCATGCGTGTCATGTCCATTGGATGGAGGATGTAAGCCTGGCACGATAAATAAAATCAATATCATCATCATTCTCAAGTAACTCATCAATTTGGTCATCATCATCACTGATCGGTAGACTAGATCATCCAATTCTTCCATCCCATACACGCGTACCATTACATTTATCCCCGTACCCAAACCCGAGAGATCAAGCAGCATCATGGCTGCGTACAACCAGCCGTCGTCCTCGGCGTCAATCGACCCAGGCGACCCTTTACACCCGAGCCTTCTTGGGATTGCCGCCGCCATGGAGCAATCGGAACGCCAAAGAAAGCAGCGAATAAGCCTTGCTCAGGATTTTCTGCAAAACATCGACGCCTAGGCGAGATCCAAGGTAGGAAATGAAGGCGCATCCTTAGTCGCACCTTTCATTGAAAATATTTCACCCATCGTGACAGCGTTCGGGATAGGTAACGCCAATGCCGCGATTCCCAAGGCAAGAATCTGTCCCCAGAAGGTACACAGTTAAAAACCTCTATCCATAGGGCGACTAAACCTCTCCATGAGCTTCCAAGAAAGCCCAAGGAGACTGCTTCTTCGTGGGCCACAGTAGCCCAGAAAGCAGCCAAGATCCCAGACCCGCCAGTCAATCTGGTAAAACATAGACCGGTTGCGCAGACAAGACCGATCGGACATGAGCCCCCTAAAGAAGAAAAACGACTCTTTCTTCGACTAGGTAAAGATCATGACTGGCGAAAGATATCACCAGTCACTATCAAAAAATAATCACCGAGCGAGCTGGAATAGCTATTTCAGCCATCAACAACGTCCACCAAGTTAGATCAGGTTTGGCAAATGAATGCATTTCAGCTGCACTTAGAGACACAATCCTTGGAATTGGGCAGTCCTTCCAACAAGAAAATATCACTATTGAGGCAGCCTCAGACTGGACTTTGGTCATAGTCCCACATGTGCCACTCTATATCAGGACACTAGAGGGTAGCATACCTGTGACGAAGGAAATGGAGGGCGAGTGTCAGTCTGTATGTGGTGTAAAACCCGTGCAGGCTCGCCAAGATGAAGCAAAACTGGGACAGTACTCCACAAACTGGGTCATCCACTTTAAAAAAAAACCGGAATCCATCAAGTTCAGATTATTTGATGAAAGCGGACCAGCCATGTCTTTTACGCGAAAACATCCCATAGAGCAATGCCAACGCTGCTGGGGTTTTCATGCAACAAGAGCATGTACCAAAGGACAGCGATGTGGCCGCTACACTGGAACACATGAAACAAACGATTGCATTGTTAAAGTACCTAAATGCTCTAATTGCGCAGGGCCACATGAGTCAACAGACCTCAGCTGCATTGCTCTTCCCAGAAGGCAGAATGGCGCAGCTGTCCCTCGTACGCCAGCAGAACTACGAGTTATTCGAGAGCGCGGCCATAGAGACTTCCACGCAGCTCTAGCCGCGTCAGACAATAAGGGAAAGGCCATTGAGGTCATCAGCATCACGGAAGCAACAATGAAAAATTCATGAGGAATACACCTGTAACTCATAATAAAAACGAGCAACAAAACGTCCTCCTATTTCACCAAGTGAACGTAGGAAAGAGCGGGGAAAATATGGATATAGCGTCACAACAGGCAAGTGACGCGGGAGCGCACGTTGTCATGGTACAAGAACCATGGACACTGCAGAAAGAGGGGGAATATATAACGAAAAACCACTCGGGCTTTAACAGCCATAAACCCATCGGGGAAACAGTGGGTCGACCACGAGCAATCATCTTTACCCGTAAAGATCTTACAGCCTCGCAAATATTCACGGGCCTCACTAGACAAACTTTGGACTACTACTTTGTACAAGTATCAGGCATCAAGTTTGTGAACGTATACCGAGCAACCGGGCCAAGTGGGACCTTAGAACCCATACTCCAATGGGTGCCCCAAGGCCCTACCGTAGTAGGGGGGGACTTCAACGCGGTGTCGAAACATTGGCAACCCCAGGCAACTCGTCAATGTGGCAACGGTGACCAGATCATGGTATGGGCATTGGCGCAGGACATGCAGCTAGTAACTCAAGCCGGCGTACCCACGCATCAAGATGGGAATGTGCTGGACCTAGTGTGGAGCAACATCTTTGCTGAGGCAT